AGCCCTGGCGGGCGGCGGCCTTCAGGGCAGCGGTGTGGGGCGTCGACTCCCCAAACGGGCGAGCAGCTTAAAGGCCGACACGGAGCCGGCGCAGGGGCGAGGCCGGTCTGCGTCAGCTCGGCAGAAGCAGCGGCCTCCTCCGGCTGGAGACGACGCGGTCGGTCTCGGCCGACTTGGCCCCACATGGGCGCGGGAGAGTGCTTGGGAGTCGGCCTGCTCGGCTGGTGTTCGCGGCCTGCGCCCAGGCGTCTGCGGCCCGCTCGGCCCCGGGAGACACGAGGTGGGCGACCCGCACTGCCCGTCACGCTGGCGGCACTCGGCAGGGAATTGAGGACTGTGGCCCCCGCCGGCGCAGCGGGGTCAAGCGCAGCACCGGGAAGTCCGGTCCCCGGAGGCGACCCCAGGGCGCGGCAGACCTCTCCTGGCCGCGCGCTGCTCCCCTAGCAGGGGACGCGTCCGTCGGCCTGTTCTGCTGCCCGCTCTGCCTCTGGTGAATCCCCTCACCCTCCGCATCTCTGGCCTGGACCCCAGTTCTGTGTGCACAAATAAATCAATCTTAAAAAAAAATGTGGTGTCACGTAGTGTGCATGCACTCTGCACAGGACAGTACCCCCAAAATGAAGTCTCTGAATTTTGGTATTTGGCATCATTTTTGACTTGTTTTCTAAATTCTCGTGTATTACTGAGAGTCCTACATCCGCCTGTGCGCATGAAGTTGGTGTTCACACTCGCACACGCCTGTGGTGGGCGTGAGGAGCCCGGCCGGGCTGCGGGAGGCAGGGACAGTTGGTAGCCCGGGCCTGCTGCCCCTGGTGCGCGATCCAGGCGAATCGCCCCCTCTCGGGGCACTGGGGCCGCAAAAGGCCCTTCGGGGCCCCTCGGCCAGTCTGTGCTGGGGGCATCCCGGGGCGTGGGGGGGCCACCTTTCTGCTCTCTCCTCCGTGGCTTCCTCGGGGCGGGCCACGCGGTTGCCCCCTGTGACCCAAGTGGCCGGGCTCGGCCGGCCTGGCAGGCCGGTGAAGGGCATCTCCCGGCGCCGTCGCCAGTGTGAAGCGAGCGCTGGCGGGCACGGGCTTGGGCAGGGGCCAGGGCTC